GGTGCAGCGAAGCCCCCGCCGACTTGGGCCGCGTTGAGAGGGTTCGGGTAGGTAGGGAAGGACGGCGATCCGGTCAAGGCGACGGCACCTAGGCCCATGACCGTGGCGAATCCGAATGGGATGCCATACCATGCCAGCTGTTAGAAATTAGCATGCCAGGTACGAAATACTCCTTCTTACGACATGAAACGGGGTAATCTGTGAACCACAGAGGGGGAGTAATGGCTGAAGAGTAGGGGAGGATAATATGAAACTCACCCCGCCGAGCAAATACGCCTGGACACTCGTCTCGGGCTTCGAGGCAATGGCACGCTGCCAGTACGCCTGGTCCAGCCAGACAGTCGAGAAGCTGCCGAGGAAGATGACGGCGGCGAACTTGATGCCCGTTGACGACTGGAATGTGAGCCACGAGCCGTGGCGGTTTCCTGCGAGGGGAGTCTGCTTCCCGGCCTCGACCAGGAGGTCGTACACTCGGCCGGGACTGCCCGTGTAATCGTCCGAGGTGTAGAGCGTGAAGGCGAAGATGAAGATGGCCACGAACAGAATCACCGTGTGCAGGTAGTCGGCGACGAAGGTGCTACGGAGGCCGCCTTGGATCACGTACGCGGCGACGGCGAGGGGGATCTGCGCGGTGGTGAGTATTTCACGCCTTATGGTTCGATTTGGGGGTTGCAGGAATGATCGCTTACAATGAAACAGGCCGCATAGACATTGACGCCAGAAAGCCCTGCCACCACTTGAGATCCTCCGAGCACGAGCGTTGCGCCGACGACTGTGGTCCACCATGTCAAGAGTGTGTCATCGGAAATGTCATTGAGAAGGACTTACACATGTTGACGACCCATCCGAAGAAGGTATAAATGCCATGAGCCACTGGCCAGCTTCGTCAGTCTCTGCTTCTCCGCCATGTACTGCTGAAATGAATGAGAGTCTCAACAAACCTTTGCCGTGGCGAGACAGGACAATTTCCGGAAACGTATGTGCCCCTGGAACATCTCTTTTGACCCTGAGGGAGAGCAAGGCGAACAATATGACCTGCGACGAACCCAGGGCGGCGTACCACATGGGCCCGGAGATGCCGAAGGAATAGGCAAAGGTGGAACTGGTGAGCAGCGTCGCCGACCAGGTCCAGGCAGAGACGATACCCGCGACAATGAGACCGGGCTTAACGTTGCGCGATGCCGTGTTGAATTCTTCTGACTGCTTTGTCGAGAAGGCAAAGTACCGGTTCTGAAACTTGGCGGTCAGGATCATGACCAGCGTGAAGACGGCGCCGATGCCTGCGATGATGCCGTAGCCCACGCCGGGGCTGAGCACCTTGAGCTCTGGTCCGACAGAGTACGTCGACATGGCGACCGATGAGGAGGTAGAGGTTCGGTATTCAGACAAGAAATGCAGCACCGTGGAAGGAGGGCTGGATTCGTTATTGTTGATGGCGATGAGCGAGATGGACGCCGCAGGGGGTCGACCTTTGCGTCGCCCGTTTTTATATCCTTCCCCATCTCCATCTGCTCGTCTGTTCGCTCGTGGATAATGTGAGAGATAAGGAAACCCCCAACGGGAAGGGGTCCCTCAGGCTTGGAAAGGTTGATCCGATCCTGCAGGTAGCACTCTCTGGACCGTGCAAGATAAGAGATATGATATTCGACAAATACACTCGGTTCTTTGGTGGCGAGAACCAGAAACAGAATCTCGAGAAAGACGGTAAGTCCAGAACGGATATCTCCTTGTATGCGAGGCGCAAGTCTAGCCGTCGATCGACTGCGACAGGATCAATAGAGACGGTGATGAGGGGGAAACGGGAATAGATAGAACTAGCCTAGTACCTTGGTACATCGATAGATAGACAGGTTCGATGTATGTACCGAGTACAGTGAAAGGTAGCCGCCGTTGAATTCAACTGCGCCTACGTCTACCCCTGTTTCCCGCACTTGGTAGAGTCGTTTATTCGCATCTCATTGGCTCCAGACTGAAGCCTAGGTGATATCGCGCTCTCCGATCTTCGTATCTCTAGACATGTTAGTGTCTCGCATGCGCCGCCATTGGCGCAGGCGGCAATAATTATTAAGCATGCCGAGTCCATTTCGTCCGAGCTGGTCTATCTACCCAAGACACGCAGAGAGGGAGGACGCTGAGGGGGAGGTAATTCAACTGCTCTCTCCATGTCAATGCCGCACGAGATAGATGTCGGTACGAGGTTACAAGGTTATCAGCCAGCCATCCAGCCAGTGAGTTGAGCGAGCGAGGTTCACCAAGTGGGCAAGGACAAGAGCTGAGGTGCGCTTTCGTCCCCAACCACGGCAAATGTATCCGCCACTCATTCTACTGCGCTCATCTCCTCCTGCAATGCGCGGCGCGCGACAGGCGACAGTGCAGAATTGTGAGTCTTACTAGACGAGACGAGACGAGACCAAACGTGGATAGATTGATGGTTGGATGAGGGGGTCACCCAGATACAGACCGAGGAAACAATACAAACAAAATAAATAAATATAATTCGATTTGATAGAATATGATGGAATATAATACATGTTGCATTCCTACCAACCCAACGACTTAAGGAGAAATCAACCCATCGCCTCTCAACTCTCATCTCTCGACTATCTCCTCGAAACTCATCTCTCTCTTGTCATCATCATGGGCTCGCTCCCGACCTGGCAGGAACGCGCGCAAAAGAAGCGAGAGTCAACCCTCGCCGCCATCCCGCCGGAATGGCGACTTACGCCCCCTCTCCCCTCGCCCGCTGAGCAGAGGGACGTCACAGGCGCCTATGTGCAGCAGTTTCTGTCTCCTCGAGAGATCGAGATCACAGAGAGCGATGCCGTGCGGATCACGGAACACACCACCTCGGGGAAGTGGACGGCTGTCGAGGTCGTTACGGCGTTTTGCCATCGTGCCGCGTTGGCGCATCAGTTGGTTTGTATCCTCGTGCTTTTGCAATGTGTACATACATCTGAGCGCGGCTTACCAAGTTTCCATCAAACAGACAAACTGCCTGCACGAGATCTTCTTCGACCTAGCAATCGAGCAAGCCAAAGAACTCGATGCCGCCTTCGCCGCCGCCAACGGTCCGACTGGCCCGCTGCACGGCCTCCCCGTCAGTTTCAAGGACCAGTTCCACATAAAGGGCGTCGAGACGACCATGGGCTACGTCGGGTGGATCGGCACCTTCGAAGGCGTCACGGGCACGGGCAAGGAGAGGAATACCGACAGCGAACTGGTCCGCGAGGCTAAAGCGTTGGGCGCCGTGCCCTTTTGCAAGACCAGCCTACCACACACCGTCATGAGCGGGTTGACGTGGAACAACATCGTCGGCTTCACCTTGAACCCGCACAATCGTCTCATGAGCTGTGGTGGTAGTTCCGGCGGCGAGGGGGCTCTGGTCGGTATGCGCGGAAGCCCTATCGGGTTCGGGACAGATATTGGGGGCAGTATCAGGTGAGTGAGCCCCAATGCTCCGACATTTTCATCCTGTGATAAATCGGAAACCCTCATCTGATCTCATCTCCAGAATCCCCTCTGCCTTCAACGGACTCTACGGCATCAGACCATCCTTTGGTCGTCTGCCATACGCGGGCGCCGCCAACAGCATGCCGGGCCAGAACACCATCCCTTCCGTCTGTGGCCCGATCTCCTCGTCCGTGGGGGCATTGAAGTTGATGCTCCGATCGATCATGAGCCAACAACCCTGGCTGCACGATCCGGCCGTGGTGGAAATGCCCTGGAGGGATGAGCTGTGCGCGCCACTCCCCGCTGACGGGAGCAAACTCACGTTCGGGCTGCTGCCGAGCGACGGCGTCGTGAATCCCCAGCCTGGCGTGAGGAGGGCCTTTGAGACTGTCAAGGCGCTCATTCTCGAAATGGGCCACGACGTCGTGGACTGGAACCCGCCGTCGCACAAGAAGGGTGTCGAACTTGCCGTAAGTTCTTAGCTCCTTTTGCCTTCTCTCTCTCTCTCTCTGTGTGTGAGAGATCCCATCTCACGCCCATATCTGACGACGCCGCATACAGTTCGAAGCCTTCACCGCCGACTCCGGCCTCGACATATGGCACCACATCGGACTCTCGGGCGAACCGCTCCAGGACCGCGTGCGCGAGTTTTACGGCGAAAAGGCCGGGACGCCCAAGACGGTCGACAAGGTTTGGGACCTGAACCTGCGCGTCCGCGAGTACCAGAAGGAATATATGGATTACTGGAACAGCACCGCGGCGTCGACACAGTCGGGCAGACCGGTGGACGCGATTCTCACGCCCGTCGCGCCGTTTGCCGCGCTCCAGTTTGAAAAGGCCATGCCGATTGGTACGTGACATTCATTCTTTCCTGCTCTCTTTTTTTTTTCAACCCATATTCCTCTCTTTCTCATTTCTCTTTCTTGTCCTCGTTTTACTCTTGCTTATCTCTCTTTCTTGCCCTTGTCCTTCCTTCTTGGAAGGAAGTCGCGAAATTGATCGCTGATGCCACCACCAATCCCTTTATAGGCTATACACCCTGGGTAAACACCCTCGACTACACATCCGTCGTCTTCCCCGTGACCAAAGTCGACAAGACAATCGACACGTTCGACAAGGACTACAAGCCCATGAATGACCTGGACAAGACAGTCTGGGAACAATGTAAGTTACGATGAGCCTGTCTGCAGAGCGATGGCTGTTGGCCCTTGACCCTGGACATATGGATTGTCCACAATCAGGTGAAACTTTGTGCTAACTCTTTCTCACCGCGAACAGACGACCCAGAAGTCCAGCAGGGCACACCGGTGGGCTTGCAATTGGTCGGACGCAGACTGCAGGAAGAGAAGATCCTCGGGTTGGTCGAGCTGATTTCCACGGCATTGGCGGTCAAGCAAAAGAGCTCATGAGTATTTGTATATATTGCAACAATGGAACCCCTGTTTTTGGGATTGCAACGTTAGCCCCCCCTTTTTTTTCTAAAAAAAAAACTGATTGCAACACTGGCACCTTGTTTTCCCCCTCCTTCGAGAGGTTGATTAGTTTTGCTGTTATAGAAGAAGGAGTCGCGTCCCCAGCTGATTCATGGCGGCTACCCAATCACAAGACTCCTCCCCGCCTTCCAGGTGCTGCCGCCTCTGCGCCGCCCGAATCCTCCAACACTCCTCGATGATCTCGAGCGTCCAGATCGACAGCACCAGCGGGTGTTTGCCCTGTTCGTTCGGCGGCACCAGGGCCCGGAACCGGGAATACTCGGACTCGAGCGCCAGACAGCCCGCGACGCAGTAGGGCCACGAGGGGAAATTGTGCGACGAGTGCTCGCGCATGTACTCGAGTGCGTCGAGCGTGCGGAGCACCCCCTGGCGGATCTCGGGGATGTTGGGGTGGAAGCCCGACACGACGACGTGCAGGAACAACAGCGCCGCATTGACGTAGATGTTTGTGACCATGCGTTTTTCTTCGTCCACGCAGGACGAGAATCTCGCAGGCGCCGGGGATTGTGGACTGGTGGTCGCGGCGAACTTGGCGACGCCCTCGTGAAGTAGACTCTCGATCGGCTCGGCGCGGCGGGTCAGTTCTCGCAGACTGAGTGTCCCACTGCGAGATTTTCTCAGTCTCCAGTCCTTGAGGATGGCGATGTCGAGGAGCGTGAGCATGACCGTGTCGTCGCATCCGCGTCGGTCCCACAACCTCGTCGGGTTTTGATCGCACAACGCGCGCACCCTCCGGATCGACCGGGCAGATTGCGGCGTGAGACCCAGGGTCGCGACAGCGGTGATGAAGCAGGAGATGTAGAAGTCGAGGAAAAAGTCAAAGGCCAGCTTCTCGCCTTCGGACAGGAGCTCGGTCGGGATGTTACATTGCGACGGCGACGGGTATTCGTGGCTTTGGGAGATGTCGGAAGCGGGGGATGTTTCAGACATGAGCGACGGCGACGAGTCAAGCGAGGATAACAGCGCGCTGGCTGCGTCCAGGTGCATGACCCAGTCGTTCATGAGGCCTTTTCGTGGAATCCAAAGCTGAAAAGTGGTCAATTTGGTGCAGAGAATGTAGAGTAATGACGGTGAGTTGAAACCAACCTCGAAGAAAATCATATGTATGATACAAGCCAGCGCCTCGACGCCTGCCGCCACCTGACTGGCCCCCGTCTTCTTGGACACCTGGTCGAGATGGTCGCGCAGGTCTGCCACGCTCCGCAAATGCTGCATTTCCAGTTCATGGTACGGTTGCGGGATGTCGCTCAAGGGTCCCAGCACGAACTGGGCCTTGTCGCACGCACTCAGGCAGACGGCAGCGTTGCACAGTGGCTTGTTCCGCAGGAAGAGGTTGAGAAGCCAGCCTCGGCCGGTGTCTCCCGCGTAGTACTGGAAGTAAGGGGACAGTCGGGGGAATATGTGGTCGAGGTAGTACATGACTAGGTTGATCTCTTGGACGTCGAATGGGAGAGAAGAGGTACTCAGGGACGTGTTTGGTGAGGTAGGGACGGAGTAATTGCGGTCCGCGACCACCAGCGGGTCGAACGAGTTTGGGCTCGGCGGTTCAGTTCTTGCGAGGCGTGCAACAAGGTATGCGCCGAGCGTGTCCTGACTTGTGCCCCAAATCGAGCTTTGGTGACGCTGAGCAAGATCGATGCCATGGTCCGACGGCGTAAGTTTATCCTGCGGCCAAACCGATGACGGCGACGAGGTTGAGGTTCCTCCTAGCGGACGCAAAGGCGAGGAGGGCGAGGTCGAGATGGACTTGGACGTGCTCGGGGCAAGTTCGCGCCTCGCGAGGCGAGATTTGGCGGCGGCGCCAGAGCCTCCTCGAGAGCGTCTTCTTCGGTAACTCTCCTTTGTCTGACGTCTGATGTTTTCCATGACGGCCTTCTCGGTGTCGCCACCGTCCATCCATTGTGGTTTCTCGCCATACCCGTAGCAGGTTATGGCACGCAATGTACAAGAAGAACAGCAGGGGCGGCTGTCGTCACACCGTTTCTTGCGCGCTCTACAAGTCCAACAGCCTGTCGTCTTTCTCGGCATCTTTTGGCATGGCGAGATGGGCGAGGCTTTTATCTTTTTGTGGGTTGTTTATTGCTGGTGTGTCAACTGAGAACCGAGGTTCCTGGACTAATATTGGAGGGGTGACCAGCTGCAAGTTAGTATTGTTATACCCCAACCTTCGTAAGATGAGACAATTCTGACCACAGAGATGAGCCAGATGCCAATGTCTTGACCGAGGTGAGTGGTTTTGATCTGAGGATCATATCGGATCGTTATCAGCCTCGAACTTGATGCGAGTACGAGGCACTGATACACAGTCGTTGACAGCATCTGATTGGCTGTAGCTGGCTGTGAGACCCACCCATATCATACGTGCCTCTGATTGGCTCAAGCACCGGAGGAGAACATATCCAGACAATAGAAGCTGTGTGACTAATACGATTTGCTGAACTTACACGAGAGTAGGAGTTGTGCTTGACATACTTTGACTACTCGTACTTGCATGTTTTCTGGAATCATTCCCAACCCACTCTGGTCTGCCATCGGCCTCGATGTCGCCGGAGCTTGTACTCTGGAACAAGAACACGGTAGAGGCACCGAGAACGCGATGAAGAAATCCCCAATAGTACATACGAGCAGGTAGGTAGTACTTAAGGTCAGAGACCAAGGCAACAAAGCGCGACAAGGATCACGGACTTGACATCCGTTCCCAAGCCTTGTTTCATGCATGCATGCACGGTATTTATATATCGCGCATCAGTTCGGTATATATGTCAGGCTCGGCTTCCGAAGAGCGAGTGCCTGACCAATTACTAGTTTCACATACCTGTACTTGTAGATGAGAAACGCCCATAAAACGTCAAAGGGGATCTACAAAGTATGAGTGCCATTCTGATTTGACCCCCCTTCCCGGCTGGCTCGGGGCCTGTTCGTGCTTGTGATTTCGTTTCGCGTGGAGTTTTTGTTCCCGACGTGCCGAGCGAGATTGGATCCTCTTGATCCCTCCTCGGCAAGAAGAAAAAAAAGTTCTGAGCAATCAATCAATCAATCAAGAACTTCGATCAAATTCGATCACTTCGATCCCCCATGAAAGCACAGGTCCATTTCATCCGCGACTTTGCATTGCTCGTAATGAAATGACTGGATCCCGGACCGCGGAAGGGCGTCGGGTCCGGGCTCCAACTGTGCATCTGAACAAAACATTTCCAGGTCTTCCGTACCAGGCACGAGTTGACCACCACCAACCAGAGAGCAGAGCTGGGGCACACACGTCGATGGACTATACCACTTGTAGAGGTGCTATTTGTATGTTTACCTAAGCCGTCATACCCTACCACCACTGATTTACAAGCTGACGACCATGACGATCAACGAGGACCGTCTCGATGCCGTGAGTGGTGCCAGCACGAGCAAACTCTCCCAGACACACTTGTACATCCGAGATACTCATCTAAGCATGTATGTGTGTGCCACGGGTGCCTGGGGTATGTACCCAACCATCGTACCCGTCGTCCGTCAACATTACTCGTATTTAGGACGCCGAGGCCGACCTCTGTCTCGCACGAGAATATCCACTCATTCCCCCACCAACCCACCCGTTTGATCTCTCGCACTGCACTCCATACGGGGGGAGTGTGTGCTGGAACGAGTAATGCAAAGCTCCGTGGTCCCTCATAAATTGTGTTGTGGATAAAACCAACGGTTGGTAGGCTAGGTAAGCTATGAACCCCGAACGAGAGAATTAAAAAAAAAAAAGGGGGAGGGGGGAGGGTCTATATGGGTCCATGGAAGGAGGAATTTTGATCGCGTTTCATTTATTTTCAGTCATCATCATCATCATCATTTTCAGCGTTATTCTGCAATTTATAAAGGGCTTCTTTCCTCGATTGATCCCTCTCTCTATACCCTCCACAAGAGTGTGATCAATACAGTATAACTCATTGGTTTCTCTCCCACCACTCACTCATTAAACCTCTACCTCTTCCATTCACTGTCTCTCTACCCCTCTCAATCACTCCAACTTCTTATTCATTCCTTCAAAAGACCTCGGAGCCAATCCAAGAAAACAAGATGTTCATCTGCGTCTCCATCTGGTACTCGGGCGTCGTGTCCATCTTCCTGAGCATCTACGGCATATACCTCCGCCACGTGTACGTGCCTGGTCTGCACAAGAAATGAAATCCCACTCGAGATTGGCCATGTCAAAAAAAAAAAAAAAGACTCAGCTCTCCGAGGAGGAAATGAATTTAAAGATTGTCAGGAATGGGAAAGGATGATCCGTCTTTATGTGAGTGGCCATTGAGCCCAAGCTATGGTATGGATGGTAAGTTATAGCAATGTGAAACCCCCGACAAGATCTACCTGAGAAGTAAAGCTAAAGCTAAAACCAAGGAAGGAAGGAAGGAAGGAAACCCAAGGATCATATATCGACGATGAAGACTGAAATGGTCGCATTACGTACGCATTCGAAGTAATTGGCATCTCGACCACCAAATCATCCAAGTCAATCCGACGATGACGTCGCTGATTTACGACACGACGCGACAAGGAAACAGTGTCCAACCACATCAATCGAATGCAAGTGCACGGTTTCAGGGATGGCTGGCTGGCTAATAGGCGAGGATTGACCGCGCCGAGATTGGGATCGAGGACCGAGAGTGATGTCGGGCGGAGTCAGTCAGAGTCAAAGATCACGGAGATGGAGGCGGAGATGGAGAGGGACACGGTCAGGGACGATACCGTTCGCCGTTTTAGGACGCCAGCGCGGGTGGATGTTGTTCGAGGAGACAAGAAGTCTGCGGACGAATCTACATGGATGTCATCACCTGCCCGCTCGACAGGAACATTGACCACGAGTGGTTAAGGCAACAGAACACAACCTGAACTGCCGTCTCGATTTCCTCCGCCCCTCACACCAGCATCCTTGGGTCGAGCATGAAAGGAATTAGCCACGGTGACAGAGGTGATGGCGAGCATGCCTCTAAGAAGTATACTCGCTGTGAACAAGCAAGGCAATATATGCTCGATTTTTGAGAAGTGGAAAGATCTCAGCATGGTGGTCAACTTTTCCAGATTCAAGAGCAAGGACGTCTTCCTGTCCCGACAAATCTGTATGTCTAGTCTATCCAGTCGTGAAATAGTGGGATTCACGACACCCCATATCGTGAGCATCAACCACCATAGGACCATATCCAAGACCTTGCAGTGGTCAATTGCTCGCTTTTCCAATGCAACTCAAACATTGGACATAGATGCACAACATGCAAATCGCCAGCATGATATCGCCGCCAACTCCCGGCAAAAATGCTCAACAAAAAACTCAAGCGTAGGGCTTCATCAGTGGTCCCTATGCGGCTATACCTCCAGGCTGCATGCCCCTGACACTCTTCCACTCGACAAATACAGCCCCGATGAGCTGCAGACAAGTCATCGCCACGGCAATATACCATGTCTGCGTCAACGAGGTATTGTACGCCGTCTGTACCCCAGCCAAGGCGCTTTTGGGATCTGTTCCTTGAGACTCGTCGCTCCGACGTGCAAGATAATGGCCGGATCGATCCCTGGAGCCAGTTTAGGGATTTCTGACATGAGTCGGTTGTTAAAGATGTTTTGGGCAACCGAGACAAACAAGGCGCCGCCAAATGTTTGCATAAACATGACCATCGCAGTCCCAGTTGGCACATCCTTCAAAGGGAGAACGGTCTGGACGGTGATGAGAGCTTGTTGCATGCCAAGGCCAACCCCAAAACCGTATATGACTTGATATCCAATCCACTTCTCATGGCCGGTAGTGGTCTCAAAAGTCGTCAAAAGACCTGACCCAATAGCAGAGAGAACCACACATCCAAAATAGAACGGAGCGTAGTACCCGATCGCTGTCGTGCCCACCCCGGTGGCGATGTTTGCCAGGACAAGGGCCAGGACCATGGGCAAGCACATAATCCCCGATTTGAACGCAGATGCACCTTTGATGGCTTGGAACCAGATCGGGACCCAGTAGATCAGAACGAAGAATGAGGCACCCAGGGTAAATGAGAACCAACATGCAGATGCCACGCTTCGTTGCGAGATGATATTGAAAGGAATGGTGCCATATTCCTTCATAAAGTACTGGTGGATGACGAAGACGATGGTAAGTACGCCGAACAATGCGAGACACAGAATGATCCGCCAGTTTGACCAAGCATAGGTAGAGCCACCCCATTGCAAGGCAAGCAGGCAGACCACAATGGCGATAATGAAGAGCGCAGTGCCGCCCAGGTCAAGCTGGTGCGCACGTTCTCGAAGTGGTACTTTCTGCTCAGCCTTACGAACCGGAGAGTGGAAGTAGATGAAAATCACCACGAGCGTAACGCCACCAAGAGGGAGGTTGATGTAAACTAAACAATCGATCAGCCGGGACAGGATAGACATCCGTTAAAGGTCACTTACAGCACCAACGCCAACCTGGCCCATCTGTAAAGGCACCACCCAGCAACGGACCGGCAATAGAGGCAATCCCATACATTGCTCCAATGATACCAGTGTAGATGGGTCGTTTCTTTAGCGGGACAGTGTATGCGATAATCACCAACGCACCACTGAAAATGCCAGCCGAACCGACACCGGCTATCGCACGACCGACGATCAGTGCATCGGAGGTCGGAGCGCCACCACAAACGGCCGACCCAACCTCGAAAATGACAATGGAGACCAGATATACTGTCTTGATAGAGTAAAAGGTGTACAGCCTGTGACATAAACTTAGCCATGGCCGCCGGCGTGATCTGCATGGGCACTTACTTTCCAAAGAACAACTGCAAAGCGCAAGTGGTGAGCAGATAACTCGATCCATACCAACCGACATCGCCCAAGGACTTGAAGTGATCTGTAATTTTGGGGATGGCCGTTGCAATAATGGTGTTATCCAACGCGACCAAGAACACCGACAGACAAAGTGCCAGGCAGATCAGTGCCAGTTTCACTCCGCCTGGATAGACTACTTCATCATCGTCGCCTGGGCCCGCGGGACCAACCACACTCACGGAACTGGTGCTCTTTGTATCACTCTCAACCTGAACATCCTCTTGGGTCTTCCCCTCTTTTTCTGACGGTAGGTACGCTGTTCCTTGCGAAGAGTCGGCATTGTCGTTCGCAACTGGGGAAGCATCCTGTATCTTCTGGTTGGCCTCGGGCCCTTTCTCATCCACCATGGTTGTCTCTAAATCTCTACTCTTCTCCAATGAATCTGCCTCCGATACACTCAGGCTGGGTACGACAGCGGCATCTTCGGATTCGACATTGGCTCGTTGGGCTGGCTCGACGGGGCTTGAAGCTGAGCTCGTTGTCTTTTTGCCGAACAGACCCATTGCGAAGATGCACCACGACGAAGCACAGCGCAGTCTCCGAAAGATCTCTGATGCTGGAAGGATCTGCGACTCGTAGTAGGGTTTGTGTGGGTCGCTCGAGGCTGTACAATCCTCGGACTGAGTTAGGATGGAGGCGTTCGGGATGGATTTGTGTACTCGTATTGCCGCAGAAAGGGCTTACTGTATTTCAGCTCTGGACTCCGCTGGGCTAGCAAACTCCGATACCAAGGGGAATTTGGAGGAGAATAGAGGTCTGGCAGAATGTCCGCGTGTGATAATGGCTGAAGACGTTAAGAAATGTTTGGTACGCGTGAACTGAGCAAGAAGTGAAATGAAGTATGTGAATGTATTAATCAAGACCTAGTAGCACTCAAAGCAGGAACAAGGCCCGCGAAAGAAGAAGGAAATTGCCCTGAACCAACAAAGGGCAGGGAGAAACTCTATAGAGAAAGACATCTATGGCGGATTTTTCGAAAGATATAATAAACAATCGTTTCATGGGATCGGATACGGGGGTGGGTTAGCGGGTGGGATGAGGATAAATTTGCGATGGACATTTCCCAGGGCGTTTGGTAGAATAGATGATGCCTAGATTGGGGAGGAGCGGAGCCCAAAAACAATGCCCAGGCCAAGCGAGATCTGGGCGACCAGTGGACATCGCTAGGTGCCGCTCATCGCCCGTAACCTTAGCTAACTCACCAACTGGCAACGGACTCGGTGGGCACGCTACGGGCCTCTAGGCACCTCTGTCTACCAATGGCGGTGTCGTTCTAGGGGCTGACACTCGGTGAAGTTTTATTCCACAACCCGAACAGCCAATGACTTGGCATCGACTAAATAAATCCCATTTCCAGTTTTGCATCTCCATCTTCACCATTGCTATGCTTTGTTCAATGACACGATCGCCCTATCAAATCACCAAAACCTGCATTTCTCTTCAGAAGAATCATACTCCTTTCCAGGACATGGCCTATAACCTGTAGGTAACGCTAATTACAGGGGTAATCTCTGGCTTTTTTCTCCTTTCTATCTTCGCTGTGGAAGTGACTCGGTTCCGGGATGTTCTGATACCGAGTGGAGACTTATCAAACTCACGTGCTGGGCATGGCATGCATCTACTCGTATCCCTCGCCCCTGGTGCCCCTGAAGGAAAGGGTTCGTTGAGCCCGCCAGACAAGGACGAAACATGTCTCAGAGAACTTCATTACAGGCTCAACAATCGATAACATGAGGATATCAGCGGCCCAAGGTCAGCTAGGAGCCCTCGTCCATTCCATCAACTGCTCCCTGTACATGAACACCATGGTTGAAGCCAGTCGGGGCAGGGCATCTCGCGCCCAATCGATACCACTATGGCGCTTTATAACCCTCTATCGCTAGTACTGGAGCTTGAACGCTAACGTCTATGCTGTCTCCTCATGGCCTATATACCTAACGGTGATGTAGGTTACTCGACTTGGAAATCATTGAGAAATGCCCAGTGAAGTTGCCGTTTCCAATCTTTACTTTTCCAGTCATCGATCGTCTTGGGATATAGATCGATAATCTCGGCCGCGTCCGAGTCGTGGGCCGTGAGAACCAGCACGTCGTCACTGGCGTCAAACTCCTCCAGCTTCCGTTGGCTTCGCATCGCCTCGCGGACCGTGTCAGAGTTACGTGGATTGATGAGTTCATAAAAGGGCTCCGTCGGAGAATTCTTGGGATGCAGCTTCAAGAACAGCGAACCAGGGCAGGACGTTCGATGAACTCGTGCTGTACGTTGGCCAGTCGCAGGTAGATCGATCGAGTCAGGCAACGGATCGTATGGGTTCGGTCGAAACTCTCCACCGTGATGACAACAATCAGCAGCCATGAGGACGAAGCTGTCAGGTGTGGTCCGAGCCAAACCCATGATATGAGCAACGGTATGCCCAGGGCAATCGAGAAGGTAGAAGGATCCATCTCCAAAATAGTCCAAGGCGTCATATTGGCCCAATTTCAGACCCTCCTTCTTGAAATTCACCTCGACCAGTTCACGGCCGGCATAGTCGCTCTCCTTTATCCACGATTCCTCGTTAGCTGGGTAACCGGGCAGGAATTCGTCCTTGAAACCGGGCCCCACGACAAGATTGGTCGAGGACGCAAACGTTGACGGATCTCCTATGTGATCGAAATGATGATGTGACCAGATGATCTCGGAGATCTCGGACACCTTGTCCCCTAGGATGTCCGCCACATTCTGTTCCGATACAATGGTCATCGCCTTGGTGAACGCGTATGTTCTGGGCGAGAGATTCTCGGGGTCCTTTCGGATTCCTAGGTCAAAAAGAATCTTTTTCCCCGTTCCCTTGTGGTCGATGAGGAAGGAATAGCAAGGGCAGTTGAACTCGTCATGGCCCTGAATATGCGGCTGGACGACGATATTTGTTTTTGCAATGATTCGTGAAGTTGTCTCAATCACCGAGACAGAAACGGTGGACAGCGAATGAGGAATATTCAGAGCGGGTGAATTGGTCGCCATGATGGAGCAAACAGAAATGCAGAAGCACCTGAAAACAGCTGTCCTTGATCTTGGAGCTCCTGTTTTCACTCGTTCGTCCCTTTTCAACCTCTCTTCAAAGGTCGGACCGATCCCTCGGTCATAATCAACCTTGTGCCCAGCTCGTTCGGCGCCGATGGCTCCTCGGACAAAGATCTTCAATATCACTCTAGACGTCGGCCTCACCTTGCTCGTTCAAAAGGACCCTTCACTTAAAACTCCCTTCTTCTCGTCAGCCTAGATCGGTACCAAAGGAAGAACAGCACACCATGGCTTACGCTGCGTATCAAAAGGGTGTTGTCGATTACAAGAATGTTGCTCCGCCGACAAACCTCGAGGGCAAGGGTGTCGTCATTACTGGTGGTTCGTCTGATATAATACATTACCAACGAATAGTCATCAACTAATAAATCGTGGCAGGTGCAAAGGGGATGGGTGAGGAGGGAGTTCGGGCTTTTGTCGCAGCAGGGCAAGCATTATTCTTACTGGTCCATCCCCATATATTCTACGCTAACGAGTTTCTTAAGAGCCCACGTCACCTTTGGAGACCTGGATGAAGAGAGCGGAACGAAACTGGAGGCAGAACTGGCCCCGTACGTTCGTGATGTTGGTGTCGAACTCAGCATCAGTCTTTCCTGTCTTTGCCGAGACATCGATCTAGCTAACCGTCGGATCAGGAACGCCAAATTCATTCGCTGCGATGTCACGTCCTGGGAGGACCAGCTGGCCATGTTCAAGCTCGCTCTGAGTTCCTCTCCCAGGAAGAGCATCGACGTTGTCGTCGCCAATGCCGGCATCAGTGGGCCGGATGATGCCTTCACCATCGAAGGTGCGAGCATGGGCTGGAGCGTGATGCCCATGACGGCGAAAATGATTCTGATATAGTGACAGACACGGACGAGCCGGTCAAGCCCCAGCTAAAGATTGTCAACATTGACCTCCTCGGAGTCATGTACACGATGAAGTTGGCCCGCCACTACTTCGTGAAGCATCCCCTTGACGCAAGTCACGATCGCTGTCTCATCGTGAACGCAAGCCTCGTGGGATTCCTCGATGTCCCTGGCATTCCCCAGTACATGGCATCGAAATGGGGGTGTCGGGGTTTGATGAGATGCATTCGAAGGACCACCGTTGTCGATGGGGTTCGCATGAACCTCACTGGGCCATGGCAAGTCGCTCCTTGATAGCTGAGCGAGACCGATCTCCGATTCTGACTCTTTTCATCGCAGGTATGTGGCCACCACGATCCTCAGCCCCACGGTACAAGAGTACTGCAAAAGCAAAGGGATCGTTTTTGCCGAAGCCAAGGACGCAGCTGGCGCATGGATCAAAATCGCCTCTGATCCATCGATAAATGGTGAGCATCATTTTGTCAGCATTGTCAGTTCAAGCCGTGCAGGACTAAAAAAAACCTCATGACAGGGCGATCGTTCGGTATTGTTCCTCGGGATGCCGCGCCCCAGGGATATATGGACCTTGGAAAGGATGACTACGCAGACGGGGATTATTTGGATGAGCTGCAGGATATCTTGCTACGCACGTCTCACCGATTGGCTGTCAAGGCCGAGTCTCAATGAAACACAGAGGACGAGACTCCGTCGGCTGGCCGATGGGCCATGTGGATTGGTAGTGTCTGTGTAAAGTAGTTCGGGTAGAGCGAATGAACGACGAGAAGCAGGCCATGGAGAGATTCGATACATTCTAGAGCACGATGTATTGTGCCCCCATCAGTCTTCTCCAAGACTCTTTCGATGGCAAAGATGAAGTCCACAGCGACGCACGCTCGGTAATACAACATGACTGCGCAAACACATACCCGGATGTGATTTACACCCATCTATCTCCATATCTCATGTACAGCTTCCCGTCGTCCTCGAAGCCGAAGCCTTCCAGCAAAGGTCGCCCTTTCGGGTCTGCCCACTTTCCATGGTAAATCTGTACAAGCAGCAGGGTTATTTGGTTAGCATGTGTATATGTATATGTGAAAATACTGGCCCGCCCACGGGCCACCAGCAAACCTGAAAAGAAACATGGCAAAAAGTGGATGACAATACCTCTCCCTTTTTAACCAGGTCTAGAAGGAAGGGCGTGACTGCCAAATTGCCATCCGGTCCATAATATTCGATGGTCCACGCTCCCTCGAAGCCGGATTTTCCGCTCGATGATTCCTCGGTCGTCGTTGTCGTCGTCTTTCGTCGAACGGCGCGACCGGTTCCTGTCTGGCCGGTGGCGAGGGTGCGCGTTGAGATCCATTTGGCGTCTATTATGGTGTCGCCCGCGTCAGCTGTGCGTAGGGTATAGCGGACCACGCCGTCGAGTTTCAGCTCGATTAAATCTCCGTTGGATGCCATGACCGAGTGTGAACATAAGACTGAGTCCTTTGTGGTGTCAAGCAGGACAGATACATCGACAGCACCGTCCCAGATATAGATGGAGGAGGGAGATGGATGATATCATCGCGAGCAGCCGAGCTGGGGTCGCAGTCTACAAAATCTCGGCCTAGGGAGTCCGACTGGGATGGGAAACGAGAACGACGCTTCGGTTCAGGCCAGGCGGGCAATACCGAGACCGCTTCGAATCTTGATTGAGCGAACCCCTCCTCAGTCCAGGACAGTCGCTCGAGTTTTATTTATTGAGAAGTAGGAGCTGGGAAAACCGTCTGTCTTCCACCAAATTGCCCAGACTGTGCATGTAATCTTTATTCTTTCCTATACAACCATGGCGAACCTCGTCCTCCTCCTCCTGAAACATCCGCTGAGGACATTACTCTTCATACACACATTCTTCTCCCAGATCTCGCTCGTCCTTCTACGGCGTTTGCTCCTACCACACTTCCCGGTCTTCCAGTCCCTACGACTCCAGATCCAGCGAGCATACCTCGGTGCGGCTGCTCTGACTTTTCCCGACTTGACGCACCGACTCCCCGTGGGGGATCTGTCTCGGCGACGAGCGCGCCAGGTGGACGAGAAGGTGCCCGCGTACCTCATCCCGGGGACACGAGGGCTTTCCGACTTTGCGCAACCGAAAGACGACGGGAAGAAGCAGAGATGCGTCGTCTTGTTCGCTCATGGGGGAGGCTACGCCCGTGGTGAGGCCAGGATGTATGTCAACTATCTGGAACGGTGGGTTGCGGAGTCGGCGCGAAGGGATCTCGATCTGGCGTTCTACAGCGTCGAATACCGTGAGTTTGAGTCCAATCTGGGAGTGCTAGGCTTTTTTACGAGAGAAAAGAGAGAGAAAGAGAGAACTAAAGCGAGTTCGGTAGCCCTCACAACCAAAGCGAGCCACCCAGCACAGAGGAATGCTTTCATCCAAGCATACCAGTACTTGCTTGACAATGGCGTCGCGGCCCAGAATATCGTATTCATGGGGGATTCTGCTGGAGGTGAGCAGGCCCTAATGCTCTCCATGTCCCTTTTACACCATCTCCCGCACTGACATCCCTCGGCTATCTAGGTGGACTCTGTATCCTCGCGGGCTTCGAAGTCAAGCGGCTCAATCTGCCACAACCAGCGGCAACGGTGTTGATCTCCCCCTGGATCGACATGGCCCTCAAGGCCTACGTAGGAGGGAACCCGGCCGTGGAGAGCGACTACTTTGTCATGGCCAACAAGGCGGTGCCTGCACTGGTGCAGATGTTTATCGGGGACTGGCCACCCGAATCTCCAGAGGTCAATCCTCTGTATCGCCAGCCCGAAGAGCTCAGCGGGTTAAGCCCGCAGCTCATTTTCACCGGCGGCGCCGAGTTCGCGAGATATGACTCGGAGCAATGGGCGCAGATGTGCCACTCGGCCGGCGTGGAATCCAAGCTGGTCATCGAATGGGGCCAACTCCATATCTATGCCATGGGTTCCAAATGGACGGATCCTGCGGTGCGAAGAAAGACTGATGGCCTCATCATCGAATGGCTGAAGAATCATGTTGCACCGTGAGACCAGCCACATTCCACGAGTATATGTATCTATCGTAATGAGTTGTCTTGTCTGGATGCTTTACCGAATAGAGACAGATTTCTCCAACATTCTGCTTGGAAACTTCCTGTAGAAATGTCGGGCCGAAATGATACTCCAAGGCGCCGCCTTCTTTCCACCCTAGCCGCCAGGCTCGGGTAAGGTTCCACAGAGAGTACAAGTAGTGACTAGTAGTGGCCTAGTAGCCCTAATAGCCTGCATCGGCGAAGAAAAGCCGAGAGCCCCTAGCCACGTACCTGTACCTCCTCACCTCATGAATGGGGAAAGATTGGAGTTACACGGCCACCATTGCCGAGGTGTACGGAACTTGGGCGAGGCGAAGCGTGGAATAAAATTATGGGACGACATAGACGTCAACGAGTTTGATGACAGCTTGGATTGTAAGAGAGAAGACATACATCTGTCGTTGCTGATCTCTCTAGTGTTTGATTCTCGTTCGCGAAAAACAGTTCCGCTTCCTGGGACCGATCGATGCAGTGAGAATAGACAGGTATATATTGAGGAGACCAACGGACACAATATGGCGACCAATTTAACAGGGAAAGGATCACGGCCGGTCCTGGTCGGAAACGTGTCTGGGTCGACGGGGGATCGACTGGATGGTGAGTGACGAGCATAATATCCTGGATTCCTCGACAACAAGATCAACAGACGCGTGGATGGAACAGACAGACAGCTAATGGTGATGCTGGGATGAATTAGGGCTGAAGTCGATGCTCAAGGGTAAGACGACGGTCGATGCCATCATTGGGGATTGGCTTTCAGAGGTATGTCCCTGTCAAACGCCCTCGAGAAATAACAATGATTGATAGCTCACGTTTCCCAGTTCAACTTGGCCTCGCGGTCACTCCAGGTTCGCGACGGCAAGAAAGGCGGCTACGAGCCTGGGTTCCTGTATTCCCTACGCGACGCTCTGGACGAATACATCAACTACAGAAACCCGAACCTCCGCATCGCCGTCAACGCCGGCGGTCTCAATCCCAAAGTGCTCGCGCAAGAGGTCCAAAAACTCCTGGTGTCACGGGGTTGCTCGAAAAAAGTCGCGTACGTGACCGGCGACAACTTGCTGCCCGAGATCGATAAGCTCGATGTACAGCCCCTGACGAGGGCGACTGGGGGCTTTCGAAGTTGGAGGCAGAAGTACCCGGATGTTATCCTCGCCCTGGCGTACACGGGCTGTTGGGGGATTGTCGAGGCATTGGAGGCCGGGGCGGACATTGTCATCTGTGGACGATGCACGGACGCGAGCACGGTGAGTAGCAACGTCTCGTTCTGGTGCACGGATGTGGGACTGACTGGTTTGGCTACAAGGTCATGGGTGTCGCCGCCTGGTGGCACGGTTGGAAGCGGACCGACGTCGACAAACTCGCGGGCTCCCTGGTTGCTGGACATCTGATTGAATGCGGATGCTACGTCGTAAGTGGTTCTCTGTCTTGAATATCGCCTCAAGGATATCTACATCCAGCTAAACGATCCTTGACACAGACTGGAGGCAACTTTGGAGGGTTTAAGAGTCTCTTCCCCAACTACTATGACTTATCCTACCCGGTTGCCGCGATTGCAATAGACGGGACGAGTGTGATTCAGAAGCACTCGAATCAAAATGGCGTGTGCGTCCTTCTATCAACCTTCTTCTCCTTGAGCACAATCGTGTGGTGCGCCGACTAACGTGAAACCCAGTGTGACGGTGGACACGGTCCGGGGCCAGCTGCTATACGAGATTCAAGGACAATTCTACTACAACCCCGACGTGATTGCCGATCTGTCTGGCCTGAAAGTCGAGCAGGTTGACAAGGACAAGGTGTACGTTTCGGGGTTCAAAGGTGTGTTTTTCCCTCTACACTTGGCTTCGCTTGTCACATCTTACTGGATACTTTTCGTGCGAAACAGTGACTTGCGGGCTAACTAATCTATTCTACAGGCCTTTTGGCTCCCGAAACTCTCAAGATTGCCATCATGGCACTGGGAGGCTACCAGGCCGAAGTGTCCGTCTACGTGACCGGCCTAGACTACAAGGAAAAGGCGCAGAGCTTCGAGATCATGACCCGCAAGATACTGAACGACAACAAGTACGACGTCCTGGATTTCCAGCTCTACGGAACACCCAAGGAGAACCCAGAGAACCAGCTCGAAGCGACACTGCAGCTCCGAGTCCTCGCACAGGCTCAAGACCCACAGTATCTGAGGGCAGGGCGCTTCCTCGGTCCTCTCATGAGCAACCAGCTGTCTGGGTACCCGGGCCTCACGGCCAACGTGGATTTTAGGACAGCAGAACCGAAACAAATGTCGACGTACTTCCCGGGGCTGGTCAACCAGAGCCACGTCCAGCTGCGCGTCTTCTTCGCTTCACAAGGCGGCAATGACGGGGAAGGCATACCCGTTGCACGACCCGGAGCCTACACGCCCGTCCACCTCCTCCCACAACAGCCAGACTACCAGCCCGTGGACCCGGTGCCGTTGTCCTCCTTTGGACCAACCGTCAAGGCGCCACTAGGACTTGCCGTCTACGCCCGCAGTGGCGACAAGGGGGCCAACGTCAATGTCGGCTTCTTCATCCCCAGAGGTCTCCACGAGTCAGAAAAGTTCGAGTGGCTGAGGAATCTCCT